TTTATAGGAAACCGTCAAGCTGTTTTCCATAGTGGCTGTATCATTTTACACTCCCACCAGCATTGGCTTCAGTGTTATTTAATGGACTGTCGTCTATCCTGCTATTCTTTAAAATAACCTCCTATATCCCACACTTTGGAAACACTAGAATACAGATTAGATCAGAGTTTCTCAGCCTCAGCATTACTGACATCTTGGGTCAGATGATTCTCTGTTCTGAAGGACTGTAATGTGCATTGTGGGATGTTTAGCAGCACTTCTGGCCTCTACCCACTACATAACCAAGTAGCCCCTTTTCCTGCCTTCTAGTTGTGACAGTAAAAAATGTCTCTAGTTATGCTAAATGTTCCTTGAGGGACAAAATTGCCCCAAGTTGAAGACCAGTAAAGTAGTTCAAGGTTGAAAAGATAAGTGAAACCAGATTGTGGAAGGCTGTTTTGAATGCTGTGCTCAGAGATTTGGCAATGGACAGTTTATTTCAGAGCTAGGTATTAATGTTATGAGAGTTCTTTAGGAATAACATTCTGGCTGCAGGGTTTGGGGTGGAATGAAACAGAAGATTTTGGAGACCTGGACATCCTTAGGATATGGTGTAAATTTAAGAGGACTCGAGTAAAAATAGTGGTAATGGAGAAAGAAGAAGCATGTTGATCAGGGTGAGGAATATTGCTATTGATGGGGAAACCCAGGCACAGAAGGCCAAGTAAATCGGTAGAAATTATACAGGAGACTTTCGACTATAATTTAGCTTTCTCTCTGTAGTTCTCTTTAGCTCTCTTTAGCACTGTGCTTTTTAAACTATAATATTTAATTACTATCTGTTAACATTTTATGTGGGTATATTAGCGATATATTAATTACATATGTTAGGTTTTATTTAAGGGTCCAGAGTTTTAAAAAACTCAGTTTTGTGGAGTCAACTTCATTGCTGATGGAATTATGAATTGGTGCAATACTCGTGGAAAGCAATGTGATAATTCAAGAAGTCAGAAAGATGTTTGTAGCTAATTCTAGACATTTATCCTAATGAAATAAACAGAAGCAAAATTACATGTACAGAGATGTTAATTGTATTGTTTAATAACAAATAGCTAGAAATAAATGTATAGCATCTACAAGAGGAAATGTTATGCAGACATTAAAATACATATTTGGAAATATTCAGAAAAGGTTTATCTGTTAAGCGAGAATAGCTCTAATAAATCATATGCAGCTAAGTAAAACTTAAAATTGTTGGGCAGTGAGATAATGGGAGTTGTAAGTTATTTTAATTCTTTAATATTCACATTCTTTATGATTTAAATGTATACCAGTTCTGAAGATGAAGTGGATGTGCTTTTACATGGAACTCCCGACCAAAAACGAAAACTCATCAGAGAATGTCTTACTGGAGAAAGTGAATCATCTAGTGAAGATGAATTTGAAAAAGAAATGGAAGCCGAATTAAATTCCACCATAAAAACAATGGAAGACAAGTTATCCTCTCTGGAAACAGGTAAACTTAGTTAGATTTTTATATAGATATTTTTTAAAGCTCCATATGAACAAGAACCTTATTTGTGCTCTCTTGTGTCTCCAGGACTTTCAGTAGGTGCTAACTAAATATTTACTGTGTGAATGAATAAATGTGTTTGACAACCTGAGCATAGTTTTCTTTGATGACTGGTGAAGAAGTGTCCTGTATTATTTGAAAGAAATTATTTAGCACTGTTTTCTTGCATGATTTCCTTCTGTAACTTTTACCTCAGGATTAAAAAAAAAGACAGGCTTAAAGAAGTATTTTTAGAGTTACATAGTACTGATATGGTAGATTGACATGTCATCACAAATTCCTGTCTCATTTTAATAAGTAATGAAACATATTTCATTTTGATACTTGGTGTTTATGTAAAATAAACCTGACCTGAAAACTGATTTGTGAAAGTAGGACTCCTTGGCATTGGTTTCCATGTTGATATGCCAAGTATTAACTGTTAAGAATGAAAGCATATATGATAATAATAAAGTCAAAAGTGGATATTAATTAAGAGGAAAAATTAGGGATGCAGGCTTATGATGACATAAGTATAGGTAATGTCATGGCATCAGTCATAACTGAAGAGGGGAAAAATGTGTCCTTGACTCATTTTCCCTGCCTTTTTGTAGGGCTCTTATTCTCTTTTTCCTTAAAGTCTCTTTAAAATGAGATGTTTATTCTTTGTTCTCCACAGTATACTTCATGGCTGAAAGGTAGAGATACATTTGCTGGCAACCTGAAATTACAGCCGTTTTATTTAATTAGATTTATGGGTAGGGAGGCAAAAATAATTTCACGATTTGGAACATTTACTCAAGGAGGGCAGTTCTCTGTAATGCACAGGGCACATATCCAGTAAGTCAATAATGTGGAAGTGTTTTGCCATTCAAATGACATTGGAAATGAGTTGATAAATTATTTGAGGTAATGGAAGAATATATGGAGTTTTTTCTTGTCGGTTATGGATGGTTTAGACTGTGTATTTCCGTTAATGTTTGAACAGAGTCTTCCTCAGGAAATGGGAAAGTTGCAACAGCTGTGACAAAGTACTATGATGATATATATTTTGATTCTGATTCTGAGGATGAAGACAAAGCAGGTAAGTAAAATGCTTACCAGGTTTAGCTGTTAATATTTTATGAAAAATTATTTGATATTAGGATTTCTTTCTTAATTTGATCTGTTAAGAAATGGCAGGCTATTGATATGAAAACAGGGAGGATCGATGAATAAGAAAAGATGTGTATAAAATTTATTGAGTTATAATGTACACCTAAAGTTTATATAACCTTGTATGCCAGTTTTACCACAAGAAAAAAAAAAAGAACAGATGAGCATGCACACATATGAGGATGTGGGACCACCAGTGGCATTGCTGCATAGGCACACCTGGGGAGAGGAGGAATAATAAGTCCTGACTCAGTACCTCCTTCCTCGGGGCTCTTGGCCCACCTCTTCCTTTAGGTTCCTTAGTTCAGTAGTATTTGCTTTCACACCTGCAAATAGTTTCTATATTTTTACCCTCTTGAATTTTCCCTAAGACCTTCTGCGTGTAAAGCAGATGTGCTAACCATTACACTACGGAGCCACCCTTGGAATTTATTTTGCATAAAATTTGAGCAAAGTTGAACATAATGACAAGATCTAAAACTAATTTAATTGTAGCAGTAATTACACTACATTACACAAATAACAAATTTATATGGTAAAGAAATAACTTTATATTTTTATATCTGTTACATAAATATTGACGTGCTCAAGTACATTTTAAATGTCTAATGTATGTGGATGACTGTAGTTTTTTTTCCATTCGTTTTTGAAATATTTTTCTTCTGATTTCAGTAGCATTTTCTATATGGGAACTTGTAGAGAATTTAGACATCAATAATAGTTACTATTCTTGGTTTGTTCTGAGTGGCATTTTTAGACTCTGAATTTTCATTATTTAAGCTCTTATTTAAGTTTTCAATGAAGTGACAGTTTTTGCTTCCTCTGTCATTCTTCATTTTAATGCCTTGTTAATTGGACAGGAAATTTACTTAGAAGAATAAACATTTTTTTTTAGGACAATATAAATAAAAATGGGATTCTTTATTCTGTATTAAAGAGGTGTGAACTTTACACATGATACTTAGCCACATCCTTAACATTTTCAAAATTAGCACAGGTAACCAAGAAAAAAAAGAAGAAACGACACAGGATTCCAACAAATGATGAATTACTATATGATCCTGAAAAAGATAACAGAGATCAGGCCTGGGTTGATGCACAGAGAAGAGGGTAAGAACTTTAATATATAGAATCTTTAGAGAAAATGATTAAAAGATGATTTTCACTACATTCACATTTTGAATGTATGTGTATATGTTTATATAGACATACATAAAGAAATTTAAAAAACTGCTTAGTTTATTTTGAAAATAACCAGCAAATTTCAGTCAGTTGTTTTTTAAAAACTGTTGAATTTAAACTCTCGTAGAAATTAAACTCTCGTAGTCTCGTAGCACATTCAAGAAACAAAACTGAATTTTTTCAAATAGACATAAAACTAGTTGGAGATTAAGAATTTATGTGGATGAAGAGTAGATGTTATGTTTTGCATTCGAATTGTTCTTTTTACCTATTTACAAATTGGATTTTAAAACATTGAGATAAAATTCACATAACAGAATTAGCCATTTTAAAGTGAACAATTCAGTGGCATTTAGTATAATTACAGTGTTGTGCGACCACCACTTCTACTTAATTTCAAACTATTTTCATCATCCCAAGAGGAAACTTCATACTCATTTTCAAATTTGAGTTTATGAAGGCCAATATGTCATTAAACTAAAAGCTAGGCAACTTACCACTATTACCCTGTGCTTCCCTAGCCTGGCTATGCTTCAGAGTCTCCTGGGGAGAATGAAAGGCAAACCCTTGAGTCCTACTCTAGTGGGAACATGATTCAGCTAAGGTGGAGTCTAGGAATCTATATTTTTTAAGTCCAGGAGGATTTTGATGTTGCGTGAGTCTTTATACACCAGTCTTTATATACCACTCTCTCACTTTGTTGTCTTCTCCCAGTTTCACCACTTCCTTCAACTGTCCCTCGCATTTGTTTAATGAATACTTTTTGATAATCCATAGTGTGGAATGAACATTTTAAGTGCTATGAGTGATATTGAGATAGTCATGGAGCTGATAGTCTAGCTCCTGATTCTAGTGACAGAATTTGTCAGTGAAGTAAGATGGAGTATATTTTCATCATTATATAATTTTGAGAAGAAATAACATTTTATTGACTTATTCACATTCCTGCATCAAGCAGTAGTTGCCTTTTAAGACCACAGAAATCAGCCTCAAATAATGAATTCACTACATTTTAAGCACCACGAGGATAGTGATCTTCTTCAATGCTGTATCCCAAGTATCTTGTAGTAAGTATCTATTGAATGAATGAATAAGTTACTTTCTTGGGGTTTGGTTTTTGAAATTTGCTAAACATTGGAGGTATTTAATAACAATTATAAAATTTGTACCACATGTTTTTCCCCACAAACATTTAAAGAGTTTAGAAAGTAATGCCAAAAGATTTGCCTTTTGTTGTTCAGTTTTCAGGAGTTTACTGAAAGCCCCTTTTAGAAATACATACTTTTATACTATAATACCTTCGTAAGTAGATTTTTGCTTTATTCTGTTAGTTAGCAAATATTTATTGAGCACTTACTGTATGCCAGACACTGTTCTTGACTCTTGAAATACAACAAGAAACAGAACTAAAATCCTTAGGCAGTTAGAACTTACATGCTTTTTAAATGTAGCTTTATCGTTAGTTTTTTTTAAAGTTAATAGACTTTATTTTTTAGAATAGTTTCAGATTTACAGAAAAATTTAGCCAATAATACAGAAGGTTCTCACGTACTCCACCCCAATGACACTACCACCACCACACACACACAGTTTCCCCTATTATTAGTGTTTTTTATTAATATTTGTTATAATTAATGAACTAGTATTGATATATTAGTATTACTAAAGTTTATACTTAATTCAGATTTTCTTAATTTTTACCTAATGATCATTTTCTATTTCTAGAGCCCATCCAGGATACCATGTTATATTTAGTTGTCATGTCTCCTTAGGCTCTTATTGGCTGTGACAGTTCCTCAGACTTTCCTTGCTTTTGATGACCATAATAGTTTTGAGGAGCACTGGTCAGGTACAGTCATGCACTGCTTAACAGTGGGGTTGTGTTCTGAGAAATCCGTCATTAAGTGATTTCATTCAGTGCGAACATCATAGAGTGCACTTACACACACCTAGATGGTACAGCCTACTACACACTTAGGCTGTCTGATAGAGGCTGTTGCTTCTAGGCTGCAAACCTGTAAAGCACATTACTATACTGGATACTGTAAGCAATTATAACACTGTAGTAAGTATTCATATATCTAAACATATCTTAACATAGAAAAGATACAGTAAAAATATGGTATAAAAAGGAAAAAATGGTACACTTATATAGGGCATGTATGGGGCTTGCAGGACTGGAGGTTGGTCTGGCTGAGTCAGTGATTGAGTAGTGAGTGAATGTGGAGACCTAGGACATTGCTGCATACACATACTACTGTAGACTTTATAAACACTATACAGAAGGCTACACTAAATTATAAAACAACACGAGATTAAATCACACATGAGAAAATGATGCAGTAAAGAGACTTGGTAAACTTGAGATGTGTGAGGCTGTTGTTGGCATAACACAGCACATTATTTTATAGCAAACTTTTTATAAGTAGAGTATACTCTAAAATATGGTGAAAAGTAGATAGAGTAAATACATAACCCAATAACATAGTTATTTATTATAATTATCAAGTATTATATACTGTAATAATTGTGCATGCTATCCTTTTATATGGTTGGCAATGCAGTAGATTTGTTTACACCAGCATCACCACAAATATGTGAGTAATGCATTGCTCTACGATGTTACCATGGCTGCGACTTCACTAGGCTATAGGAGTTTTTCAGCTCCATTATAATCTTACGGGACTACCATTTGTATATGCCATCTGTCATTGACCAAAGCATTGTTATGCAGTGCATGACTGTATATTGTAGGAGGCCCCATTTATTTGGAATTTGCCTGATGTTTTTCTCATGACTAGACTGGGATTATAGGTTTTTGGGAGGAAGACCAAAGAGGCAAAGTGCCATTTTCATCACATAATGCCAAGGGCACAACCACATACCATCAACATGATTTACTACTGTTAATATTTACTTCGATCACCATGGTGAGGTGGTGTTTGTCCGGTTTCTCTAAACTCAGTCTTTTTTCTCTCCCCCCCGCCCCCCCTTTCCATACTGTACTTTTTGGAAGGAAGTCACTATGTGCAGCCCAGACTTAAGGAGTCTAAAGTTAAGAGGGGAGAGTATCTTCGTAAATTATTTGTAATTCTTCGGAATTAGAGATTTATTTATTCTCCCTCATTTATTTATTTATTCGGTCATTAATATCACCATGGACTCATGAGTATTTATTTATACTTCGAGTTATAATCCAATATTATTTTATTTTGTTGATCTAATTGTTTAAGCTTTGGCCACTAGGAATGCTTTCAGTTGACTCCTGTGCCCCTTTGACATACCTACTGCATTGGTATTTTTGTTGTTGTTTTTTTTTTTTTTTTTTTTTTTTTTAGCACTTTCTTACTTTTTGGCACTACAAGATGCTTTAGGTTCATCTTGTATGTCCTATTCCTAGAGTCAACCATTTTTCTAAGGATTATTGGTTACTTTCGTTGGAGAGTAGCATTAGAAATCAGGATCTGGCTTTAATGTGCCCGCTCCCCTTTCTTTTTTTGTTCTAGCTACCATGGTTTTGGAATACAGAGGCCACATCAGCAACAGCAGCCAGTTCCAAATAGCGATGCTGTCTTGAATTGCCCTGCCTGCATGACCACACTGTGTCTTGATTGCCAAAGGTAATGGATAAAGGGTAACAATGTACACAAAACAAACAAGCAAAAAAACCCAACTTGATGGGTCTTTTTTAAAATCAGAAGTAGACTTTCGAGGTACTTAGGAATTCTGATAAGGTTCTGTCCTCATATATCCATGGTGCTACCTGGTTGATCTTTTTATAAATAATTTTGTTTATACATAGTTCTGTCACAAGTAGTTTAAAATAAAGCACTTGCCAGTACTGACAAGGATTCAGTGAAACTGCATATATGTTGTGGAATGATATATTCTCTCAGATACACTTTATTTATCGTGATAAAATATACGTAACAATTTACTATGTTAACCATTTTTTAAAATTTGCTATCTTAAGACTTTCATTTGAATATTCAGTTTATTGCCAACTAGACCATTTAAACATTTAAAAAAACCTTTTCCCAGCTTTATTGAGATGTGATTGACATATAATATTGTGTAAGTTTAAGATGTACAGTGTGATGATATGATATATGAATATATTGCAAAATGGTTATCACAGTAAGGTTAGTTAATATCTCCATCACCTCACCTCACACAGTTACCATTTTTCCCCAGCTTTATTGAAGTATAATAGACAGTTAATTGCTCATATTTACATTGTACAGTTCAATGAGTTTTTTTCAATTATAGTTGGCATACAATAATTTATTAGTTTCAATTGCACAGCATAGTGATTAGAGATCTATATAACTCATGAAGTGGTCACCCCACTAAATCAGGTACCCCTCTTCCCCCTTATATATTTTTCACAACATTGTTGACTGTTTTCCTTATGCGACACTTTATATCTCCATGACTATTTTGTATCTATCCATTTGTACTTCTTAATCTCTTTGCCCTTTTTCACCAACCCCCACCCCAACTCCTACCCATCTAGTAGCCCTGAAAATATTCTCTATATCTCTGAGTTTGTTTCTGTTTTTTTGGTTGTTGTTGTTTACTTTGTTCTTTAGATTCTACATGTATGTGAAATCACGAGGTATTTGTCTTTATCTGACTGACTTCATTCAGCACAATTATCTCTAGGTTATCAAGGCAATATCTTTTTCCATCCCCTTCCTTTTAGCCTGTGTGTCTTTTAATTGGAAGTGAGTCTCTTGCAGGTAGCATATGTAGGGGTCTTGTTTCTTATCCATTCAGCCACTCTGCCTTTTGGTTGGAGCCCTTAATTCTTTTCCATTTGAAGTACTTGTTGATAAATAATGTTATTACCATTCTTTATTCATGTTTTTGATACATGTTTTTTCTTCTTAAAGAAGTCCCTCTAACTGGCTTAGTGTCGATGAATTACTTTAGTTTATTTTTGTCTGGAAAGCTCTTTAAATGTCCTTTGACTCTAAACGATAGCTTTGCATATCCTGGGTTTTCAATGCTTTGAATATTTTGTGCCAAGCCCTTCTGTCCTGCAAAGTTTTTTTTGAGAAATCAGCTGCCAGTCTTATGGGAGCTCCCTTGTAGGTAGCTCATTGCTTTTCTCTTGCTGCTTTTAAGAGTCTCTCTTTGTATTTGACCTTTGGCATTTTAATTATGACATATCTTGGTGTGGTCTTCTTTGGGTTCACTTTTTGGGAAGACTCTCTGAGCTTCCTGGGGTTATATGTCGATTTCCTTCACCAGGTTAGGGAAGTTTTCCATCATTATTTCTTCACATATATATTTAACTTCTTGTTCTCCCTCTTCAGGTACCCCTATGACACAGATGTTGTTACCCTTATTTTGGTCCCATAGGCTCCTTAAATTATTCTTGGTCACTTTTTTCTTGCTGTTCTGGTTGGGTATCCTTCCCCATCCTCTATATCGGTGTTTTGATCCTCTTCCTCCACTCTGTTCAGATTCTCTTTAATATACTCTTCATCTCAGGGAATGTGTCCTTAATTTCTGACTGGTTCCCTTTTATAATTTCCATTTCTATTTTATGTTTTTTATCTCTTTGTTAAAGTTATCATTAAGTTCATCTACACTTCCCTTAATTTTATTGAGCATCTTTATAACCAGTGTTTTGAACTCTGCATGTTAGATTGCTTGACTCCATTTTTCCTTGATCTCTGTTCTTTCATATGATTTCTGCTTCTTTGTTTTCCCATTTTGGCTGCCTTTCTGTGTCCATTTCTATGTACTAATCAAAGCTCCTGAGTCTCCTGGTCTTATTAGTGTGGCTTTGTGTAGTAGGTGTCCAGCAGCACAGTCCTGAGAGGGGTTCAGCTGCAGGTCAAGTTTAGCCCCAGCCTGTGCCCCTCTGGGGCCACCTGTTAAGATTCAGCAAGCAATCCACAGATGCTGTGCTTATAGATGCCTCAGGAAGCCATGCCAGAAAACGAGATCAGCTGCCACCAGTGTGAGTCTTGGCTCTGCTCAGCAAGGAGCACTGGACTCTCCAAAGATACAGTTTGATGTGGCTTGGGTGGGGCTGTGAGTAGGGGAGGTAGAGTTTCAGGGAATCCTCTGGGCAGAGCGACCTCTGTTATCCAGTTTGATGACGTCTCAACAGAGGAACAGTGGACACTGCCAGCACTTCCGCCCAGTAGAAAGCCTCGCCTCTGGCCCCTGCTCTGACAACTCAGCATCCCCCCATAAGTCCCCGGTGACCCCCGAGCAGCCTACCTGGCACTGAGGCTCAGAGCGAGCAGGTCCGTCAGTGGGAAAGTCTGCTCGTGGACACAGCCCCTCTAAGAGGCATCTGCAGCTTCCAGCTGCCACAGCCGTAGCCTCTGTCCTGTTGCAAGATGACTTCTTATTTCTCTCTCTAGCTATAGGACCTCTGTTCATTTGGGTGATTCCACCTGCTGTTCACTCTGTGTTTCTGTCTCAACCTTGATGTGGTCACAAGAAGGGATGAGTGAAGCTTCTATTATCTTGCCATTTTGCCCGGTTTTCCTACCTTTTTTTTTTTTTTTTTGTGAGAACTTTTAAGATCTACTCTCTTAGCAACTTTCAAGTATGCGATACAGTATTGTTAACTATAGTCACCATGTCGTACATTAGATCCTCAGAACTTACTCATCTTCTAACCGGAAGTTTGTACCCTTTGACACCTTCACTCATCCACCTTTCCCCATCAGCACCAATCTTTTCTCTTTCTATGAGTTCAACTTTTTTTTTTTTTTTTAAGAATCCACATATAAGTGAGATCATACAGTATTTGTCATTCTCTGACTCATTTCACTTAGTGTAATGCCCTCCAGGATTCATTGTATTGTCACAATGGCAAGATTTCCTTTTTTTTAATAATGGCTGAATAATATTCCAGTGTATAAATTTACCATATTTTCTTTATCCATTCTTCTGTTGATAGACACTTTGGATGTTTCCATGTCTTCGCTTTTTAAAATAATGCTGCAGTAGGTTTTTAGGAGGAAGACCACAGAAGTAAAGTGCTATTTTCATTACATATCAAAGGCACAATTTATCAACATGATTTATGACTGTTAATGTTGACCTTGATCACCTACCTGGCTATGGTGGGGGTGCAGATATCTCTGAGATAGTGATTTTATATCTTTTGGATATATACCCAAAAGGGGATTGCTGCATCATATGTATTTCTATTTTTAAGTTTTTGAGGTACTTTCATACTGTTTTTCCATAGTGGCTGTACCAGTTTACATTCCTACCAACAGTGCACAAGGGTTCACTTTTGTAATCTATTTGTCTTTTTGATAATAGCTATTTTAACAGGTGTTACGTGATATCTCATTGTGCTTTTGATTTGCATTTTCCTGATCATTAGTGATGTTGAGCACCTTTTCATATATATGTTGACCATTTGTATGTCTTTGGAAAAATGCCTGTTCAGGTCCTTTGCCCATTTTTTAAATTGGAGTGTTTGCTTTGTTTTGCGATTGAGTTTATGAGTTCCTTATATATTTTTGATATTAACCACTTACTAGATGGTAAATGATTTGGAAATAATTTCTCCCATTTTCTTAGCCTGCTTTTTTATTTTGTTGATTGATTTTTTTTTTGCTATGCAGAAGCTTTTTAGTTTGATGTCGTCCCACTTTTTCATTTTTGCTTTTGTTGTGCTTTTGGTGTCATATCCAAAAAATCATTGCCAAGATCATTGTCAAAGAGTTTTTCTCCTATATTTTCTTCCAGGAGTTTTACAATTCAGGTCTTACATTTAAGTCTCAAATCCATTTAAAATGAATTTTTGTGAGTGATAGATGATAGGGGTCCACTTTCATTCTTTTGCATGTAAACATCCAGAGACTCTCTTTTTCCCATTAAATATTCTTGGTTCTCTTGTCAAATATTAGTTGACATTATATGTGTGGGTTTATTTCTGGGCTATTGATTCTCTTCCATTGATCTGTGAATCTGTTTTTATGCCAATCCCATACTGTTTTGATTACTACAGCTTTGTATTATAGTTTGAAATCAGGAAGTGTGATACCTCCAGCTTTGCTCTTCTTTCTCAAGATTGCTTTGGCTATTTGTGGTTCCATACAAATTTTAGTATTTTTTTTTCTATTTCTCTGAAAAACTTCATTGGAATTTTGATAGTGATCACAATGACTCTGTAGATGGCTTTGGGTAGTATGGACATTTTAACAATATTTATTCTTTTGATCCATGAACGTAGGATATCTTTCCATTTATTTGTTTTTTTCTTCAGTTTTTTTTTTTTTTTTTCATCAGTGTCTTATAGTTTTCAGTGTACAGATCTTTCACCTCCTTGGTTAAATTTATTCCTAAATATTTTATTATTTTTGCTGCTACTGCGAATAGGGTTTTTTTAAAAATTTCTTTTTCAGATAGTTTGTTGTTAGTGTATAGAAACACAACCAATTTTTATATATTGATTTTGTATCCTGCAACTTTACTGAATTTGTTTATTCTAACATTTTTTTGATGGAGTCTTTAGAGTGGACATTATAAAGTCAGAAGCTCCTTAAGCTTTTAAAACTAAGCTCCTTAAGCTTTTAAAAGCTCCTTAAGCTTTTACTAAAATGGTGACCAGAATGGCACCACCTATATTGAGAGAAGCACAGAGTCTCAGGTCACAACAGAAAAATGTGCAAAGATTATTTAAACATTACCTCTCAAGTTTTCTACAACTTTTCTCTTGTTTTTCTGATTTTGGAGAACAAAGTTTTTTCTGAGATAAAAGTTAATTTTAAAGCAGGAGAAAGGAATATATTCATTCTTTATACTATTTATTATTTGTTACCATGTTCCTTTCTATTCTTAAAGTAACTCAACATTTCTTTAAATTTCTCATTTTTTCCCATGTCTTTACTTCAGTAAGATTTTGATGTTCTCAAATTTTATCTAAATAGATAACTATTAAAATAGAACATAAATCCAAGTTCTCCATTTCATTTTCCTCTTAGGCATGAATCATATAAAACTCAATATAGAGCAATGTTTGTGATGAATTGTTCTGTCAACAAAGAGGAGATTCTAAGATACAAAACTCCAGAGAACAGGAAGAAGAGGCGAGGCCGGAAGAAGATGCGGTCTGACCGTGAGGATGCTGCAGAGCAGGCAGAGACAGAAGTGGAAGAAGTCTATCACCCTGTTATGTGCACCGAATGTTCCACCGAAGTGGCAGTCTATGACAAGGATGAAGTCTTTCATTTTTTCAATGTTTTAGCAAGCCATTCCTAAATAGCTAAGTTGACATTTAATTGCCCAATGTTGTATATAAAGCAGATATGGACAGTTATTTTTCTCCTGCCTACTTATATCAAGTGACATTATGAGTTGTTATTTGAAGGAGCTGTGTTTCATCTTTATGTATTTGAACAAGAATGGTTATCAACATTCATCCCTCCCCCTTTAAAAACATTTCCCCAAGCTCTGATGAAACTGATTATTCATTCCCTTTTTGATGGACTTTGGAAACTTGGGGCTTTTTATTTATTAAAGCTCTTTAGAATTAAAATGTCCTGGGGTTATAAGTAATCTTTGTTTCTGAGTGTTATTTTTATTTTTTATTTTAGACATACTCTTGAAGTGATTAAACTAGAAAGTATTTTTTGACTTCTATCCGTATCGTTTGTGCTAAGAAGCATTTTTATTTCTCTTAAGTAGCTGACTTCGAGACCCGCTACAATGGGAAGACTCACTATGTGGCCTTCAGGTGTTAAGTCTCTTTATCTGACCTGGCAGCAGGCTTTTTAAATACATCTCTTCCTGGGCCTGCTTTTCTAATTTCTTATGATATTGAAACTGTTGTTCCAGATAGCCTCTACCACATAGGAGGGAGTGACGGTATTTAGCAATTGTTACAATGGTATGGAGTTAGTATTCAGGTGCCTTGAGTAATTAACATAGGTCTTTCCTTAAAAGGATTATACTTACCAGTATTCTAAACTTTATGAATTAATATAGTAAAATAGAAATTTGCAGTGAGAAAGAGCAACTTCATCTTCCACCCTTACTCTTAAAAATCCTGTTGCTGCCCTTGTGTCTACTATTCTGGAATTTCTTTTGCCTGATATAATTGAAATATTTCCAAAAACGACATTAGGAAACTCAGGGTCTTCTTGTTAATTCTAATAGAGATGTGATAGAGTATAAAAAAAATCAGAAAATATGTTTTAACTCAGGCTCTACCGTAATAATCTTGGGCAAGTCTGTTCCTTTGAACTCCAGTTTTTTCACTAGAGCAGTGATTCCCCACAGAGGTCAGGGCTCAACAGAGCTTGAGGGAGACCTCTACATGCTCCCTCAGAGAATGATACACCTCCAGAAGGGAAAGCTTGTCCTTCCCTCTGTCTTGCCTTGTGCTCTTTCTAAAAGCTCCTTGTAGGGAGACCTGGAACCAGTGATGGTATAGTGTTTGTACAAATAAGGTGGAGGCAGAAAAATGATAAAGAATAGTATATCGATATTTATCTGATTAGAAGCATTATATATACTTTTAAGTGTTTCAGCATATTGCCAGATGATATATTACAGAATAACACCACTAGTCTTATTTTAACCTAGTGTTTGCCATGCGGTAGCTTTGCAAGATATCTGTCATTGCAAACCCTACTTTCTTCCCAGATTCCACAGTCACTCCTCCATCATATCTTCATCTCCACCTCAGTGGGGGATTCATAGTGGCCTTATACATAAAGGTCACTTAGAACAGATATTAAAAAGGCACATTGTTGAGGTTCTACTCAGAATGTGATTCATTAATAAAAAAGGCAGTCACAGTGTATCAAGATGTAATTTATGATAATAAAGGGGAGGGACAGACTACAGGAGTTTTGTATACCATTGAAGCTAAATTCGAGCTAGTTAGAAATTTAAGATGACAATTGTAATCCCCAGGATAATTATGGAGATGTTGTAACACCACCACTACCACCACTACCATCATCATCATCATCATCATCACCACCACCATCATCATGATAACACAATAATCACAATAATAGCAATTACATGCCAGACATTGTGCTAGTTGTTTCACATACATTATCTCAATTCTTTCTGAAAAAATGAAGTTAGGATTCTTAGGCCAAATGTCGAGATTAAGTTCTGCTATATTGAAGAATAAAATTAATAAAATACAGGTGAATAATTACACTGGAAATAACACGTCCATCAGCAGGGGAGTTGTTAAATAAATATGTCATATCCATAATGAAACATCATGAAGTCATTACAAACTATGAGGTAAATCTAAGTTTACTGACCTGGAAAAATGACTGCTGTACCTATAACCAATAAATACAAGATACCAAAAAAAAAGTTGCAACAAGAAGAAAATTTAAAGTAATCCAAGAATATATTTATTACAAAACTGTACAACTATTTTTTTTATGTCCTTTGTAAAAAAAATCCTTCAACTATCTCAGGGAAATTGGTGCTGAACAGTTTTGATTGAAGCAGGGGGCTATGACAGTGTTTCCACCCAGTTTTAATGCATAGCGTAGACGCGGAATATATTTTCTGTTCTTTTGTTTCCTTAGGATGCTTCCTATAATGTGATTACATTTGGATTATTCAACAATCATAGTGTTTTTGTGAAAGAATTATAGCAAAATGGAGTTGATGTTGTCAAGAGAGCAATCTAAATTGGAGCCAGGTGGCCTCTGGGAAGCTGAGCTAACTCACCCCAGTACATGCAAAACTGAACTTTTGAACTGGGCTAAACCAAACACTACATCTTGATACAGGTCCTGGAACTGGATTTGCATCATTGAACTCTTAAAAATTTTTTTTTCACCTAGCAATAAACATAAGTGATTAATCATGAATAGCATAGTGTAAGTCTGCTTGCCAGCATCAATCACAGCTCTTTCAAAGCAACTATGTAATCCTTTTGTAAGCTCCCCTTTTTCTGTCTTTATAAATCATGTCTCTTATTTTCCACCTTGGAACACAGTTGGGTTTCTATGCAAATCCGTGTCCAAATTGCCATTCGTTAAGACCCCCACTTAAACCTTTTGTTTGACCATTCTTGGTCAAAATTGATTGACACTTTCAGCATAGCCTTCTTACATTTTGTAATTGTAAATGTTTTTCTCGTATCTGTGTTTTTATCATATCTAAACATGAAACTTTAAAGGTCTACTTGAGGCCTTAATCTGCCCCAATTCCCTTTTTAAATGAAGCACAAATTTTTAATATTTAAATGAGGTTTAAATTAATGTGTGGGCCTGGAGCTAGATTTGGTGATTCCACTGAAACTAATTGTTCTTTTTCCTGATCAGCTTGACTAACTATTAGTTTTTATTACTGTATGACAAATGGCTACAAACTTAGTTGCAGGAAATGACATATATTTATCATCCCATAAATTTTGTGAGTCAGGGCGACACAGTTTGGCGGTATCCCTACTCAGAGTCTCAGAAGGTTATAATCAATTTACTAGCCAGGTGGCATTCTCATCTGGAGCTTTGACTGGGGAGTGTTCCACCTCCAAGCTACCTTGAGTTGCTGGCAGAATTCACCTCCTCATGGTTATAGCGCTGTTTTCTTGTAAGAGCTGCTCTACCTCTAGATGTGGCCTCCTGTCTCCAGATGTGGAAACGCAGCATTAAATCTGTTGCTTGTTAAATCTGTCACTTCTGTTTTTAAGGGTCCAGGATGTATCTGTGTGTATGGGCTGTTTCAGTGCGTATCATACATGGACTGTGGTTGTTTCTTTTCTCAGCTACTCTAACCCCTAACCCCTAGAAACTGCCCTCCAACCCCTCTCCTCCCCAGGCCTCCCTTATAGGAAACACTGCCTCAGCTTCTCTGAACTATTACCAGTGGTTTGGAACTAAAGGATACAGCGATTTAGGGAATGGAGGGAGAAAAGGGAGCCCCTACCCTGTATATTATCACATATTTGTATGTACCCATATCCAATGTTGAATATTTTTATTGTAAAACTTTTTGAATATATTATTCTTATTTTTGACTATTTTGGCTATTATTTGATGACTCATTTATGATTTTTTAAGCAATCATGTACATGAGAATTATTGAGAAATGAGAAAATCTAATGTACTAATTATTTTCAAATGTAATGAAACTCGTACATATTTTAAATTTTAAAATTAATGAAGTTATATGTAAATTTAATTACACATTTCTTAATTTTATAGTTTTATTTTTATTTAGAACCAATATTTGCCCTTTCCCTGTCCAGATCTCATTTTCCTGTGTGTTTTCTTTTCTGGAAAAGCTTGTTGGCCCTGGACACTCTGCCTGCAGTGCCAAACAGATAAATTGGTTTTGTTTGAGTCTTCCTATGGATCCGTAAGGGGACCAAAGTTTGGCAGCAATTTACTGACATCCCATACTCAGATAATTAAGCAATTTCGAGGTTTGTTAATAGTATGACAGATTTTTCAATTTTAATAGTTGTTGGTTTATGGAACTTAGGGAAGCACGGGAAAATTTTCTTCACACCAAAGGAACTCTAAGCAAAGGAATTTTCATTTATATTGGTGTATTAGTTTGCCAGGGCTGCCATAACAAAATACCACAGACAGTTGCTTAAACAACAGAATTTACTTTCGGACAGCTCTGGAGGCTAGGTGTTTGAGATAAAGGTGTCAGCAGGTTTGGTTTCTTTTGAGGCCTCTTTCCTTGGCTTACAGAAGACTGCCTTCTTGCTGTATCTTCACATGATCTTTATGTGCACAATGTCTGTCCTAACCCTCTCTTAATAAAAGTACCAATCATAGTGGATTAGGGCCTATCCATGTGACCTCATTTTACCTTAATTACCTCCTTAAAGACCCTATTTTCAAGAATAGTCACATTCTGAGGCACTCGGGGTTAGGACTTCAATATGAATTTTGGGTGGATACAATTAAGTCCATAACTATTGTCATCCTTTTTTTTTGTGAAGTAAGCAAAATTGATGATAAAGTACATTTTGATTAAGGTGAATGTTATTTCCCACTGTCTTCCATGGGAATATCTTACTTCCCCCGCATTGATGGAGTATATCAATGGTGGGAGTAAACGCTTAAGCTAGAGAGGGGGAACACTTTTGAAGAATTTCTCAGTACCCTCAGATCCTCTCCCCAAATCTTTTCTTTATATTCTCTTTCTCCACTCCTTCCTCAAACTATGAGCATACCGTCCATGTACATAGTCGCTCCAGTCCATGTGGGTGGCTTCCATGACTTGGCTCCCTTTCCCCCTTTTGTCTGCGATCTCAGTGAACTCTCTCTTTCATCCACCTCACCCTTCCCCCTCTTTTGATTTCTCTATCTCCTTCCTTTTGCTTTTCAGTGTTACTATGTGCCAAAGCCTAGATTCAAAGTAAGGGCACAATATTCTTTTCATGGAGTTTACTGTCTTGAGGGGAAGAAGACATAGTTGAACACAAATGCTTTGATTTTAGATAGTAAGTGACAGTTGTGTCTTGATAGGAAAGTAAGAGGGTAGCTGCTAGAAGAAAGTTACTGTGTGTGCATGTTTTAAATTTAACTAGAGCTGGGAGAAGGCCTAAAA